AATCACGAACTTCCTTAAACCTTTCACAAACGTTTTTTTACTTTGCAATATTACAACTGTAATTTCCAATTTTTTTCAAATCACTACTTTTTTTGCGCAAAATCGTGTCCCAATTTTCTTTCCAATTCGTATGTCTTAGTACAAAGCGGTTTTAAACATTCCTGTCAAGCTGACAATCTGAGCTTCTCCGTTTTAGGATGCGAAACATCTGCATAGTGCATATGAAGTGCAAGCATACCTTCGATAGTCTAGAGACAGGGCGTCAAAAGTGAAGGTTGTTTGAACATCTGACGTCATAAACAGTGAAGGTTGTCCAAAGAAGATCAGAGATGAGAAAATGACGTAAAACGGATATAAAAAGGAAAAGAAACGGCTGAAAACCGGATAAAAACGCTGCAAAAAGTTTGAAATCTTTCAATTGGCGGCTTTTCAAGGTGCAAGTTTTCGCTCCCAGACCAACAATTCGCAACACGGGGTTTTGATTTTTGATGCGCCCTTTAAATTTTTACCCCCGCATTGACGTTCCTGTTTCCTGGGACGTTGTCTCGATTGTTGCGCTTATTGTTCTGAGCAACAATCGCCCAAGCTGGAAAAAAATCGCTGCGAAAGCACTGAAACAGAACAAGGCCAAGAAAAACGCACTTTTTACGATTTTTCGCAAAAAATTCTACCATAATCAAAGAAGTAAGGGCTGGGTGGTTGTCTGCATTATTAGCAGAAGCAAGATCTATAGAATGGACGAAAAAACCCCGTGAAAAGAGTTAAACTAGAAAAAAAACAAGAAATTTTCAAAAACAAGGTTTTTGCCGGATTTCGCGATCAAATCAAAGAATGTGGTTCTGGGACGTTGTCAGCGTGAAAATAGAGATCAAGAGCTTCAAAATGATATATAGCTTGCTAAAATTGGGTTCGAGACAGCGAAGAAAAGGGTACCAGAGCCAAATGCCCCGCGCCCCGCGTTTGGGGTAGCGAGGTAGCGCGCAGCGCGCGGAGACGCAGACGAGCAGCGGAGACAGACCAGAGCCGACGGGGCATTTGGCTCTGGTCGTAGATCTCCGCGGGGTCTCAACGAAACCCTGCAACATTATATATCATTCTGATCGTCATGACACGGCGAGGAAAACTGACAACGTCCCAAGCTTCGAAATTCACTGATTAACGAGATAGACCAGCGTTTTCGTGCGCGACCCTCTGCGAAAGATTTAAGCTCAGTTTCTCTTTTAATATAACTCCAACAGCTTTCCTAAACGTCTGATACTCAATTTTTGTCAAATGAGAGGTTAACAGAGGAATTTCGTCTTGAATTCTGGAGAAAATTCCACAGAAACCTTCCTTTCAACGTAAAAAAAGGCTATAAAACGCAAATTCTCGGTTTCGCTGAGATAAACTAACGATATTATTCCCTATATTTGCTTCATTAGCACTCGTTCCGAAATAGTCAGGATGATAACATCCGGGGCTTCGCCCCGGATGACTTCTGTTTTTTTCCAGGTGAAGGTTGTGTCCCCTCATAGCCCTCAAAGTGAAGGTTACCAGAGTACGTGGCTCTATGTATCGAGGGTATGAGTGCAAGAGATCTTTTAGATCAAAATTATTGTTCTGTTTCCGACAAAAGAGTCAGCTACGGCAAATATTTTTTTTGTCTCGCTCTTCAAATCACACAAACCAGATATTCATTCAAATTTGCTCTGAGGAAAGGGTAAAAATGTTTTGCCTATCTTTACTATTTTTAGCATAGCAAAACACAAAAACAGACGTTGAGAGCAGGAAGATTTGGCATATATCGCATTACATGCTTACGTTATACTGAAATAGCATTCTCTGAGACGCATAAAGCAAATATTTACTAGACACCGCAAATTTCGCAAAAAAAATCGTCGTTTTATTGACCGGAAATGATTTTCGGTTGTGTTAAAGAATAGGTATTAGGTTGTCCCAAAAGTAAACCGTATTTTTGAATAAATCAAACTATTTTTGTTTTCTTGGCAGACTTGGGATACCATTCGATAGAGCGAAGCAAGCTATAGGAAATGACAGCAAAAGATCCGTCTATGATCCAGGTAAAGTTTGGAGCAAAAATCGAAAAAATTTATTACCTGAGAATTGTATTTTTGCGAAGAATAATCGTACGGAACTCAAATTTGGTCGTTATACAATAGACATATATGTTAGTAGTACTCAAATATGCCTTTATTGGATTTTTTCCGAGCTTAGAAAGCGAGAAAAAAGAGGTAGCCTGACAATGGCAAACTCCGCCCCCAGCCCGTCCCACATATGTCCTTGTATACTACAAGCCTTGCTAAGTATAATCTTAAAACTTCATTCCTATAGGTGCTTTTATAATCGAGAAATACCAAGTTTTACATGAAAAACCCGAAAAAAGTGGCATTTTGGCATTTTGGGACCATCTTTGTTTCTCAATTTTGAGCTCCGGAATAAGCTCCGGAATATAAGGACCAAGTTGGAAGTCCGTAGGAATTTTCTGGAAAGAGATTCGATTTTAGGATAGCGAAAAATTTTGATTTCTGGATCCAAATTTTACCTGGATCGCAACTAAGACGGCTCTTTGGTGGTCATTTTGTAGAGCTTGCTTCGCTCTATAGAATGGTTCCCCACATCTGCCAGGAAAACAAGAACGATTTGATTTATGCAAAAATACGGTTCACTTTTGGGACAACCTAATATTTTGTCGCTCCTCTTTTACTGCTACCATAATATTTTACCCGACAAAACATAGCGTGCCTAACATTCTTGCATTTCCCATTCGCAGGGCAATGCATACTTTACAAAGCTTTGACGTAACGAGCTCGAGCGTTTTTCTTGCACAATGCTGTTCTTTCACCGATGGCAGTTTCACCTTTGAAACTGCTCGAGGGCAAAATCGATGTGACGGGTGGGAACAAGTGGCGTATGAAGTGCACTTACGTGCTTTTATTGGATTTTGTTTGTTTTCAAGCATTTTCATGGAAATACAATAAACTGATTCATAAAATTGATTCAATGTCTCGTAAGATGGCAAACAACATTTGCGAGTGAAAGATGACCATGGAAAGCAATATGCTACCTCAAGCTGGGCCATTTCTTATACGCGAATGTAATCGACAGGGCAAGAACACTATCATTTGTTCTGTGACTAACAACAAGAGACTGGAGACACACACTGTCCAAACAAACTTGAACTTGTTCATTCTTGTTTTTAATCCATTGACGACGATGTGGACCACCGGTGGCCTACACACCTTGCAAAATCGTATCCAGGTCTAGTATTTTTTCCAGAGGTCACCATTTCTTCCAGTTCTTTGCACTATTGGAACCTATAGACCTCGTCGTCTAAGAAGATGGCTATAGTTGCTTACAAAACATTTTTACATTTCGTGAATAATCACAAAACCTTTTTGGATAGCAAATAATCCTAGATCAGTTGAATCACAGGTACATGCTTGTTAACCACACGATTGAACTTGTTTTGACAGTGTATGCAAAACGGTTTCGTGTCTTTCACAGAACGAATGATACATCAACCTTCGATTTTATCAATTACAACTAAAATTCATACTTGCTCGTACTTGTTACTTACTTGTTTAATCAGACTGGGTAATTGCAGTGATTTTCTCTTTCCTTTTCTATATTTTGTCCGGTTTTGTTTAGTGAGATCAGTCGCTAGCAGCAAAACACATAAAATGCACAGCATAAAATGCATATCTTACCAAATACTGCTTAATATGAAATAGTTATGCTAAGTGACCGTAACTCATCATCCTCGTAATTTTGTGTCTCAAAGGACCAGAATTTGTCTGCCCCATAATGTAAAGGAAGTCCTCCCAAGTAATAGTCACAATTTGTCTATTTCACATGGAAAAGGCGATGTTTGTGCAGGAAGACTGAGTATTAGAAATTCTAAACAAACATAAAAAAATGCAATCTAGGAGATTTGATAGTTATTGAGGGCTCGGCACAGGTGGCTAGGAAGCAAAAAAACCAATCCTTTTTGTCCCAAAAAGCAAAGGAGGTCTCGTTTTCATGGTCGAAAAGACACAAAATCTGCGACGTTTTTTTGGTCGACGTTTCGTTTTCTGTAGATTTTTTAGGTGTTATGGCCTAGGGTCAAACAAGGAACTTCGTAAAAATCGCAAAAGTCAAGGGAGACTTCGTTTTTTTGCATTTTCATCTACCCGCCTCGTGAGGAGCCATGATTATTTTATTCCTTTGTCGAAAACATTTGCGCGGAAAATTGGCCGTGGAGGGCGGATTGCCAAGTTTTGCACAATATGGCTAATATTTATGCGCGAACTTTGCCTGGGACACACACCGGAATTGCCGTCATATGATATTTTTGAGTCATTTGTTATTCAATATGTGTATTGCACACCATGCGGGATACTCCACGATTTTTAAAATTAAAAAATGCTCATTTACAGCGATTTCCCTTGTTTTCTTGTCTGTTTGGTTTGATTGTATGTACCAGTTAATAGCAAACATTTCAACACTTTTTTACGCAAGAAACTGTTCTCGTGAGGAGCTTACAGGTGAAGGTGTCGTCTATTGCCACGCGTAGTGTGCAGATTCACATATTAAGTTGCAAATGACTCGACATTAAGGTCAAATTGAGACACACTTATGTTATAGACTGCAAAAAATCACTTTGCAATCTGGGAGACTTTTTTGTGTTTTTAAACTTCGCAAAGTCGTCGAAACATTCAGCGTCCATTCAGTTTACCTCTATTCATTCAAGAGCTTGGCCTTACAAAAACAAGAAATTTCATGCAAGCTGCACAATTTCTCTTTCTTGCTAGGGTTTAGAGGAAGTCATTTCGAACTTTCTCCAAACTTCTTGCCTCTGCATTTTAAATGCATGGCTTGACTGAATAAAACTCTCACTGCGTTTCTTTCAATAATTACCAACAATTTCGACTCTCAAGACGCAAGTTTAAGACCCTAAGAAGTCAACAACAGCCAGAGAAGTTTGTTTAATGACTTCTACAAAACTGTATCTATTTTAGTATAAGCCCGTGGCTTTTGCCGTCTGCACAAACGTTGAATATGACGGATCGCTCGACGACGACTCACCTGTTCATGGCTGTGCCGTTTCCTTCAAAGTCAAAGACTTTTTACACATTAAAGAGGTATGTCAAAGTTATTCTGCTTCTTGAATTTTTGCCGCAAATGACAAATTGTGGTTTGACGACAGAGGGCAGATCAAAACTAGTCAGATCAAAACCAGTCCTAGTCATTTGGGGATTCTTTTTCTTCAACACATTGACGACCGAGCATTTTTGACCACCTCAAAATGGACTGATGATCTACGGCTGTGGTTTAGGCTGTTTAACAGCCACCGCAATGCCATGTGTTCTATATGACAACCAGGCCAGCAGTTTTATCACTGCGTAAAAGTTACCTGATTGTGAGAACTTTTCGTATACACATGATAAATTGATGCACGAAAGTGCTAAAAGGTGGTCAGGGCGTGCATACGCGCGGATGCACACGGTTGTCAGCGTGTTAATCTTGCTAGCATTAGGAACATCGGGCGCGGGACACCAATCGCTCGATTCTAATCGGGCGCTGTTCTTTATAGAAAAGCGTAGTATGACGATGCAACACGGACATAGATCGGCAGATCGATAAATATCGCTTTAGGTGTGCAAAGCTTCTAGAAATTTCGAAAAATAAACTTTATTACTGTTTTGTGATTAGGGAGTGGGCGTGGCCACCAATCAGCCAGTTGTGGTTTAGATAGACTGAGACACTTGGCCAAGACTTGACCAACCTGAGTGGCGATAGGCTCACTTTATATCGCCACGCCAATCAAGTAATTCCCTACAAGAAAGCGACGGAAAGGGATTTTCTGACGTTTTCTGAAACTGAAAAAAGAATGGTTTTGGTATGAGGAAACACAAGGTCTTGATGAGGCAGGTCTTTGTAAAACGGCTGGCTTCAGATTGAAAATCTAAAGCCGAAAATGTGCAGATCAAGCTATGTTAGAGATTGGGCTCTTTACGGAGGACACTGGTCAAACAATTTCGATGCACATTTCTGTCTGACTTATAGTAATTGTGCTTGAAATATAGCATAGTAACTAGAAATGATTATCTTGAAAAATGTATTTTTGTAAATTCTACAGCATCCTTGCTGTCCTACATTTATAGGTCTTTCCCAATGCATCTGAATTTCACTAAATTCGCCTTTTTCCAAATTTCTTCACTTCCAGAAATACAACAATGACTGGTGGATAGGACGGTTAGTAAAAGAAGGTCATGACCTTGGTTTTATACCATCACCAGTGAAGCTGGAATCACTGCGACAGCAAACAGCAAAAGCTGGAAAATTGTAAGTTCCTCTAGAATTTTCATATCTGCTTTTGTCCTTTTTTCTCAGCTCAGTGCTTTAGTAAGCAGTCAACTTCAACATCGAATCTCGGAGCGCTGGACAACATGATGCCTCGAAGTGAATCAAGAGGGTCAACTCCGCCCACACCTGCTGGTATGCGCTGTTTTTTGCACAAAAGCGTGAAATGATTGCACGAATTTAGATGATGACGAATATACTGCAAAGAAGATGACCAATATCGTCACGACCCCGCCGACAAAAGAAAAAAAGAAATTGATATTCAAAAAAGTAAGTGCATAGCGCGTTTTATCTTCTTTTACCTAAAAAAGAGATTTTACAGCAAGAAAATCTCCCGCCCTATGATGTGGTTCCATCGATGCGTCCAGTTGTTCTAGTTGGTCCTAGTTTAAAGGGCTACGAAGTTACGGATATGATGCAAAAAGCAGTTTTTGACTACCTGAAGCATCGCTTTGAGGGAAGGTGAGGCAATATCCATTTAAGGGTGCCTTCATACCGCGCCCGCAGCAGCCGCCAGCAGCCCGTAGCAGCCGCCAGCAGCCCGTAGCAGCCACCAGCAGCCCGTAGCCGCCGCTGGCCGCTTTTGTCATGGAAGCGAAAATCATCAAATTCTTAGTACTTTGCGTGCGCCTGCCCATACTTTCCCTCTTCCACGCCGATGTGATATGATTGAAGCAGAACATCCTAAAAGTTAACAAATAGCAACCTGCAGGAACTGGACGCATCCAAAGTCAGAAGAAATCACATCGCGAAGACTTTGGCGAAATATGGTTCATTTGCGAGAGGGAAACTGAGCATCAGTTGGATAACCAATCTACGGTAACAAGATAATAACAACATTGGACACAAGTATGATGATATATGAGATCAAATTGCGGCAACAGGGAGGAAAAAGCGTGGAGGATGGAGGGCGTGGGCGGTTGCAATTAAAATAGTAAGAATTTGGTGATTTTGCGCTTGTATGACAAAAGCGGCCAGCGGCTGCTACGGGCTGCTGCGGGCTGCTGCGGGCTGCTGGCGGCTGCTACGGGCTGCTACGGGCTGCTGGCGGCTGCTGGCGGCTGCTGCGGGCTGCTACGGGCTGCCAGCGGCTGCTACGGGCGCGGTATGAAGGCACCCTAAGTCTCTCGCCACCTTATCGCTAACAGATTTGGCCATTACTTTTGTGCACTTACGGTGTACAACACTTAGTGAGTGATGGCCGCGGGTGGCGCAAAATCTGTAAATATCGTTTTAAACGCCATTTTTTGAGTGCATATGTTGCCAGTACGGATACGCAAGCACCTTCTCAGCATTTATTCTGTTAGAGTCAACATATTGCCCGCTACGCTGCTGACACTCCAAAAAACGACCTATTTTACGCGCAAGTGTTGCCTGCACCGCAAGCCACTTTATCGATTGTTTATCTTACGAGATACTACTTAGTTGTTTGGAAGATTCAGTTACTCAATGCACTTATCTATATACAACATGGATTTGAATTCCTTCGCTAGCCTTAAGTGCACGGTATTAAACAAAAAAATTTCGATACTTTCTGGTTAATCATAAAACAAGTGAATAAACATTATGCGATGCGAAATGTCGCCGATCTCCACCTTCATGAGATTTTCTTGAATTTCGTTGTTTTTGCTTTCTAAGTTGCTATGACTGTGCTTCCCACTTTGCTTTGTCATTCAACCTGTAACGCGGGAAAGAAAATCAAGAATTACAAGCTTTCCAAACTTGACAGGTCGCTCATTTCATTACAAGTATATTTTAGAATTATCATCACAAGGGTCACTGCCGATATATCATTAGCAAAGCGATCACTGCTCAATAACCCGAACAAAAGAGCTCTAATGGAACGGGCTAACTCACGAACTAGTAACAGTTTAGGTAAGTTCATGCAAGCAAAACGTTGCAATCCCCGTCTACTCGAAAAACAATTTCAGCTGAGATCCAAACAGAAATCGAGCGGATCTTCGAATTGGCTCGTTCTATGCAGCTAGTCATTCTAGATTGTGATACTATCAACCATCCTAGTCAATTAGCAAAGACTAGTTTAGCACCGATACATGTATATATCAAAATCAGTTCTCCTAAGGTAAGTGAGCTTCGTAATATCTAATTTTGGCGCTTAATATATTTTGATTCGAGCAGCTTTGCAGTGGAAAACTGCTTCAGCTAATGCTAGGCTTTAGCTATCTCAAATTTCTGGATGCTCTGAATTTGTAGAAACTCTGGGAATCACATTTTTGAACTTCAGAGAGGTGGGAGTAGGGTATGTACCAATCAACCAATCGTGAAAGTCTTCACCAATCCAGTGGTGATTGGTTGATCGGTCGAGCGCAGCAGGCTCAATCAACATTGCTCATGTCCAAATGAAGCAAATTTCAGCGTATTACAAGCAGCAAAGTAAACTTTCAGCACATTTAGCAAAATCAGAAGATAGAAAATTTAAAGAAATTTCCTAGACACTGTCTCGTGGAGACTGAGCGAGGAATTGCTTAAAAGTACTCAAAATCAATTCTTTTTCCATTTCATCTGATTCTAGGTGCTGCAACGTCTTATAAAATCACGAAACAAATCGCAGTCACGGAATATGAATGTTCAAATGGTGGCCGCTGAGAAATTGGCCCAATGCCCACCGGTTTGTTGCTTTACATCTCTTACGAAAAAATGCTAAGAAGCTTTTCAATTTTACCTTCTTGGGCAGTTCTGACGTCGAACCCTTCCCGAATCCTCTTCAAACGTGCTTAGGCCCATTCAAGATTGCTCCTTGCCCTGCCAATAATCCTCTATTGCATTCAGGAATTGTTCGATGTATTATTGGACGAAAATCAGTTGGAAGATGCATGCGAACATCTAGCCGACTTTCTCGAAGCCTATTGGCGAGCAACACATCCACCAGTACGAAGTCCCCCAAGAATAAAACGAAATCCAATGGAGAATCGTGGACCGACACAAATATTCACAGCTGCGCAAATGATGCAGGTGGTGCTACGATATTGACTGATTTTGCACGACATGTGCTGCAAGTTGCAATAATTTCAGGGTACGGGAATGGCCGGGGCTGGACCGATGATGGGCGGAGGTGGATCGATGGGATTGCAAAAGCAGCCGTCTACGGGACAACTTGCGCCACCGATGGGGGCACCAATGGGGGCGCCGGTCCCGCAGACTACACCCTATCTCACTCCACCCATGCAGCAGATGCCTGGTCGGCAACAGCCTGTTCCGCCTTTGAATATGCAGGTGAGTCAGTTTTCAGGCCAGAAATTGAGTAGAGAAACCGTCTCCGAGGAGTATCGGTCATTTCGCACAAGCTATTGCTTCCATGTGAGGAACAGTAGTCCGGAAGACGGCGTCTCAGAACGAAAGTCATTCCACAAAACATGAATTCGCAGAGCCACTGAACAGTGAAGCATATTCTACAATATCACCTCCGTCTTGTTTCGAGTAAGATCGCGACGGAAAACCCATTTTTTGTACGGTTGCAACAAAAAAGAAGTTTTCTCGTTTTCATCTAGGAAAGAAACCTTCATAGTCACAAGGAAACGGTCAGAAGATCTATCTCTTGATATCTCTTTCCCCAAAAATCTTTTGCCTACCTCTAAGCACCATTTTGTAAAGCTGGCTTCAACTTATTGTTAGATTTACAGTGTGGAGCGAATCTCGGTCGCTATTCATTACTGTAGGATTGCGCTGGAAAATTCAGGAAGGGTTGTGAGCCATCAAGGGCCCTATTTCGCCTCAGAAAGCAAACCGAGCAACCGAAAAACTTCTATACTAAGTCAATTCAAGCCGCTAAAACCAAATATGATGTTCGCACTTACCGCAGTGCTTCCTTCATAGGTCATGCCAGGTAGACCGCAATAGCCGTTTTTACAAGACTCCATTAAATCGTGATTACATTATTTTAGAAGCTTTGCAAACTCGTAAAAAGTTGAATAATAAAATTAGCGAGCTTAAAAACCCTAGTAGTACACCACTTTTCAGATTTTTTGGAAATTTTTTAGAAACACGGTAAATCCGTAATGACGCTATAAGCTGAAAGTTCCTACCGTAATCCTACAGTAGTAAGCAGCGACCCGTGATTCGCTCCCTGTAAATCTAAGTTACTGTAAATATAAGTTGAAGGCAGCTCTACAAAATGGTACCTGAAAGTCGGCAAAAGGCTTTTTTGAAAAGAAGATATTAACAGTCAAACAGTGTATACATACTTTTGGGACACCCTGCGGACGTCACACGACAACGTGAACAAATTGATACACTTGCTCCGCTGGCCGAGAACATTCGAACGACATAAAAAGTCGTTTTGTACAGACGGAGGTGTGATGTACCATAAATATGTATTCGTTTGAGAATATCTCTATACGAACGAGTCTTAGCTCTAGTTTGGACAATCCCCGTTCATTTTTGTGCTTGCAACGGAAGGCTTTTTTGACTGTGATGTCTAAAGCAGCGTGACATTCCATGCCGCTCAGATTCTTTTTTCCAGGGCGGTGTCGGCATGTACCAACCACCTCCACCTGGTGGCAATTCACCAATGATGCAGCCAATGAATATGTCACAACGAGGTGCTGCCCCTGGACCTATGATGATGGGTCAGCAACGAGGCCCCGTAGGCCCTATGGGAGGCCCATCCACCCGGATGGGTCCACCTCCAGATCGGCACGGGTTTGACGATTACGACGATGTTGATATGAGCCACGGTTACGATCGAGGCACCTATCGTTATTAGCAAGTTTTTAAGAATAGCCATTATAAGAAGTGTACGCAGATGCATTTTTTGATCTATGTTTAGCTCTATACGATAGCTTATGGCCACGATTGGTGCTAAACGCTGGGACACTCACTGTTTTCAAAGAAATAGGCACCAGCTAGCACGAAATGCTTGATGCGCCATGAACAATCCAAAATTCTAAGTCATTTCTTATTTAAGAGCGCAGCGCATAACGATGTGAATTTAATCTTTCAAAAGCAGTAATGTGAAAATTCTTGCTCACCTGAAGTTTAAAACAAACGCACATCTTCCAGAATTTATCGAAAGATTTGGAAACAGAATGCTATTTAGTTTTTGGAGACTCACAGATCAAAGCGCTATTTATCTAAAATAGCATTCATTCAAATTTAAGCTGCATCTAGAGTTGGCCGTTGCCAGTGCCGTGCTAGATCCGTGCCAGCGCTCACGCGCCGCGCCCCGTATTGATCCGACGGCACTTGCACGGAGCTAGGCCGGAGCTGCCACGGACAAGTCCGGATGCAGCCTCAGGGTTGGAGCATTGTTTTTGTGGTCAATCCACTCGCCTTTTTACACTTCCAGAAATTGGTGCTATGGCACCAGCTGCGTATGAAAGTATATAGTGCTCAGCCGATGTTGCTAATGTGGTCAATTAGGCTATAAAAATTGACAATACAGCGCCACAGATCGGTGAGCATTTTCATATATTGATTTCTTATCGAATCATACGTTCTCGTCAATCTCTACCTTTGTGCCAATTTTGAGAGATGTCTATATGTATATTCTTTTGAGAAAAACTATTTTCCCCCTACTACATGTGATATATGTACTAATTTGCACACTTTATTTTGTCAATGCATATCTCGATAAAGGTTTGATAATTTAAGTAAAACAAGAACACAGTGGAAAACAAAGCTGACATGCCCAGCAACTGGGAACGACATGTCTCGGGCACGAACTCTAGAAAACGTTCCCTAAAACATGAACGGTCGGAGTTAGGAACATACAAAACATATCTTGCTGCAATATCGAATGGTTAAAGAGGATAGAAGACAACTACAAGCAGGACGAAGGTGACTGTTTAGAGACCCGATACAGACCGATTGTTTCTTGTCATACTGATGAACAGTCGAAAAAAATATTACTAATCCTATTCCAAGTTTACAAACGACAGATTTGAATTAATAGAAAGTAGGTGTAAACTATAATCCAGTTGAATCTTAAAATCACGCAAGTAAATGAGGAGAGATTAAAACATCAGTGATACAAACAAGTGTGCTCAAAGTAGTCATCGAAGAATGAACATGAGAACGTGTACAATTTATCTTTTAGCAAATGCATAGCATAAGAAATTTGTTTTATAAACTTGAAAGATACACAATCAAGACCTTTTGAGTCCTCATTTCAACGCCGAACAGGAACAATCATAGTAAATTTGAGAGAGAAACTAAAGAAACATTGTGAAAGTGTTCGCGCTACCATACATGGATCAAAAAAGGGAAAACAGCTTGACTCAACTTGCGTGAATACTGCTTAATATAAAAAAAATTTCGGCTGCCTGGTAGCGCAGATACGAAAAAAAAAAGGAGCTGCTTCAACTACCGTAATGAACACGTAAAAAGGGAAGCATAAGCGGCATGTATGAAACATCACAGGCCTCAGACTCGGCAACGGTCAAAATAAGGAACACTGTAGGGCAGGAGACAAAGTCAACGAGGTGAGCAAGAGATGCCGAGTTTGCGCAAAGAAAGTGCAGACGTCAAGCATATAACAAAGAGCACATACAATTGAAGGTGATGGAAAGAATGTCCAGGATATCACAGATATAAACTTTTTCACTTCTGGAACATGCTCGCGAAATGATTCTGCTGTTGTTGCTGTTGCAAAGCTGCAAGGAGTTGTGAAAACGATGCGAACAAGATGTAATATAAAAGAAAAAGAACCTTGTAATGCGACCAGCTGCGCCATTTCGTGGGCGCCAGCGGACGTACCAGCCATCTAAAAAAGGAGTGAACAGGTAAGATGTGAGGAATCACAAATAGAACAGCATGAAACAACGTAATACGTTAATGCTTATAATAAAAAAGGCTCTTTTCAGTTAAAAACTAGGAACCTGTCTTTGTGAATATTCTGGAGAACTCAAACTGCCGCAGAGTCAAAGGTAGATCGCTCTTTAGATCGATTTGACTGAGCCAGATAAGCATAATCAAAGTAAGATAAAAACGACAATTTTTACACTGCTTGTTCAATCCGCTCATTCAAAGATAAGTGACCGCGCTTCGTGACATCTTCTAGCGCTTGCCCCGCTACTAATCATTTTGGAGTAATTTTGAATGCAGATCAAGAGCCATAGAACTAGGGGTCATTGAAAACATATTTCCCATTTAAAAACGCTATGGCGATCCAAAGGCAAAGATCCAAGAAATCTCTTAGGGAAGGAAATTATTTGATTCAAAGCTGCAAGCGGTGGGCACTTTGCTCCGGATCGGCCTTTTCTGTCCCAATGAACTGAACATTGGTTGAATGCGTAAAATGAATAAAGTATGACATAAATTCGTTGATTAATGACCGATGTGTCCTACGATGTGCGATCTCGCCTTATCGCTATGTGCGTTTTTTCCACACAGAATCTAATGCAAAGCAACACTCTTGATTTTCTTCTCACTCGTAAATTATAACTGGATGTTAGAAGAATTATCACAAAGGTTTCAGCGATAAATAACAAAAAAGCTTCCGGCTTGATGATTCCGCACCTGGACGATCTTTCAATTGGCACATAATATATCCTAACACACTACTGCCTTGACACCATTTATACTGCAAGTACTTACTGAAAACTGTGCGTTTCTAGCTCCAGCAGCCATTTGCTGCATGTAGAGATGGTGCATCTGCGCCATTTGTGCTTGTGCAGCAGCCGCCTGCATCATAGCGGCTTGATGTTGACCTAAATGAAGTTGCACTAGTGATAATTCGATAAGCTAAGTCTTACGCTCAATCAACACCAAGCTATAACATATGATATGAGAAAATTTAGCTGCTCCACTTACCCGTTCCTGACTGCATCATTTGTAATCCAAACTGGCGCTGCATATTCTGCGCAGCGGGAGATTGCATTGTTCTTGCACCTGATAAGACACCACTCGATGAGGAGACATCTGCAAGTCCAAGCATTGAGAAGAATCGAGGTTAGCGATGAATTAGTAGAGATACCAACCGTCTGACTTTATATGTGTCTGAGAAAGTTTTCCCAACGATTGCTGCTGAGGAGATGGCGCTGGATTCACCGTCGGAGTACTGAGCTGAGCAGGAGTAAAAGGCGACATCATCTGATGAGCGAATGAAGGCATGTACAGTCCAGCAGGAGAGGGAGTCACAGGTACTGAAATGAGTCGGCGTAAACTGCGGAAAACGAAAAAATCGCAACTATAGTTCCCAACTTCCACATACAATACCCTGCCTTAAGTACGCACACAGATATTAGCTATATATGGTTTTCAGAGATTTCTTCGATGATAAAAGCTCAACACTCTACATGACAAAATTCTCGAAAGAAAGCAACACACAGCGAGCAGACGCCGATATTGCCGAAACAGACGTTGGTGTTCCAACAGAATTCAACACAGGACTAACTCCAGTACCATTCATAGTACTTCGATTGCGATCAGCTGTAATAGTTTGTAAAACACGATAAAGAAGTCCATGCAACGAAAGGAACATTGCATTTCAATTTTCAAAAAAGAAAAAGATACAGACCTGACACCGGTTGAAATGATGACTGTGGAGCAGTTGGCGTAGCTGGTGCTACTGGCATAGAAGAAGGACGAGAAGGCTTGTGCTGTTGAGAAGTGGGCTGTTCCGCTTCTAAACAAATTAAATAATTGAGCTTCATGAAGCAGCTGATCGAATAGGATTTTTTGGATTGTCATCGTTGTCCATGAAGCTTCTAAGAGCATTCAAAACTGTTTCCCTAGCAATATGCGTGGTGAAAAAGGTGGAAGTCTGACCGTGGACACGAAAAAAGAATGACTTGTAAATTTCAAGTGAATAATACCTGGCACAGCCTCCTTTTCCTTCGGACTAGGAGCAAATTCTGGTGAAGTAAGCACGTTTGCAGGCCCAGTCACTGTAGTTGGAGGAAGCGTTGTTGAGATTAGAAGCGGAGCACGGACGTCACTAGTAGGCTCCTCCTAGAACAATGCACCTTCCCATCATCATTACTCAAGCAAGGAATATAAAGAAATAATCCTAGTGGATCAGCACATACCTTTTGCAGCTGTGGCGCGACACCATCATCAGAGATGTCGGAGTAACCTGCCGGCGACTTCGTTGGTTGTGGGTCTTCAACCTTCGCTTCCGCTGCTGTTGGTAGAGCGGGAGTGCTCTCCTACACAACCGAAATTGTTCATATCGGGAAAAATGCGTTTTTCTGGTGGTTTAAATTGAATACGCGTGATTCTTATGTCTTAATTCCACAATGATTTCAAAAAATTCTTACTGCTGAAAATAGTGTACAACCTGATAAGAATGATGAGCCTTTTTATGAAATTGTCAAGCATTACCTTGGGACATTCTACCGCTGCTGCCACTGAGCAAGGGGGCTCCTCCACTATGAGCCCTTCAACATCAGTTTGAACTGAGCGTCTTCGTAATGCGGAGATGTCTGTCTGACAGCAAATAGCTTCATACATGACCTTTAAAATGAACAATGTAGGTGGTAAAATCAAATCAAACAACGATCAAAATCATACAGCTCTTTTTCCGTGTGCTGTAGCTTTATGATACTCCATTTCTTCGCCACTTGCATATCGATGCTGGCAGCCTTCGAATGGACAAGTGTGCATGAATTTTCTGAAAGTAATGGTCGTCCATATACCATTTGCAACATGGACTTCTTAAAAATAACGAAAGATTAAGAAGATGTTAAGGGCAAAAAATTAAGCTTTCATGTAGCTAAAGCAACTGCATACCAAAAGTGAGCCGAAAAAGTTGCACGAAGCAGATTCAGATAGCATAGAAGCTTACCGTCCAGGAACTTCGAAAAGTTTGAAAGTGTCCATAGAAGATCCTCCTGCGGTTGATTCTATGTCCACCTCATCATCATCATCCTCTGCAATCCTTATCGTTTTTAGATAGTATGGAGATAGAGGAAGATATTGTAAACTAACGTGGCTCTGCTGAACTCCCAGGGCGCGTTGTGGAACATGACAATTTCCTTTTTGCATCAGCGGGCAGGTTTCTCTTCTTAGAATCACGAGGAGTTGCGGGTTGCTGCCGATACTTGGATGGAGTGCTTGCCCCACTATTCGGTGCTCGCTCATTTCCTTCACCAGACGCACTGTTGTTGGAACTGTTCGAGCCGCTATTCACGAGCGCTTGCCTGGAAAAAACTTTCAGTATTGCATGTTCAAGGGAATCTACGGCATATCCAATATCATCAGAAGGAAACTATTGCAAGTGTGTCGATATGTGAGGCTGCACAACTAAACATCCACTAAGTATGAGAATTACCTACGAAGATATGTGCGTTGCTATCACCTTTCTAGGGGCAAAGTATTGATAACCGAAGGAAACAAAGCAAATGGTAAGTCGCAGTAAAGACTGTGCTCTATCTCGATTATACTAGTGCAAAACCACGCGAGCGACTCCCACTATACTAACAAATGAAATGGCCGAAGAAAAGAGTTATAACCTATTCATCTCTGATAAAATGAACATCCTCACTTCCTTCTCACATCCATTTACCTTTTCCAAGTACAACAATCATTTGTAACAATAAATGTGCCCCAAAAATTAACGGAAAGCAAATGCAAAGAGCATATTCTTGCGCCCACCTCTTTTTCATGTACGGATTATAAGCAGGAGATCTGCCGTCAGTAAGAACGCCGCTCATCTCTTGATCTTTCCATTTGACAGTGACATACAATTCGTTATCTGGAAGTATGATCAGCTTACACCAAGATGAAAGCGATTAGCCCCTTTCTGGATGACATTATCACCAACTCTACCTCACAATAATGTGAGGTGACCGCGACTGATAGCCGACACAATATAGATTATGTTCTGAAGAGGTGAACATTACTTCGCCACTAATCCCAATCAGCAAATGCGATTACTTTGCAGTGCTAGCGTCAGCTCTAATAGGAGCGTTCTCGAGTGAGTCTAATCAATAAAATGATGCGCGTGGATGTAGCTGCTATGCTCGGTCAAAGATGTTTGAAACGTTGTAAAAACAACTAACACATACTTTCCATCTTGCACATAACTGTCATCTCCACAAGTCGCGTTGATCCGACTTCTAAATCGAAAAATGAAGAATCCGCGTCGCTCTGCACAGCGCGAGAATGTACGCATGTCCCGCGGTCACGAGTTTGCTAGAACGGTGTAAGTTTGACCAGATTCTCAAGAAGAGCAGAAGGAAAAGGTGAAGTGATATTACCGGTTTTTGTTTTTTCGCCACCGTTTCATCTGAATCCGATTCAGGAACATTTTGCTCGTCAAATGAGCTATCCTTTCTTTTCCTGGGTGGCAGTCCGTCATTCCTACCTTTTGATCTACAATGATTTTCAGACGTGATAGGTGCTGTAACAGTAAGTAAGTTGTTGAAAGAATGTAAACTTACACTCCGTTCGTCTTGAATCTTTTTTGCCTTTTTCCCACAGTGGCACCGTCTCCCTGCGTACTGCTGGAATCATTCGCCATTCTAAATATCGACGTACAGTAATCTAAAAGCTGATCGGCTATGTTACACAAACGTAGAGCTGCGAGGTGTTGTTATAAATGTGTGATTTTCGGTCCTTGGAGCAAAAACGGACGGACTCGCATCATGCTGGAACTTCTTTCTGAAATTGCAGATGGTACTAGATGAAAAGAATGAAATAAAAATAATTCGAATACTTATGCTTGAGAGGCGTGCTGTTCACTGTTGATGGAGATTCATGTTCACCAAGAACTTTGAGGTTATTGGTAAAGGAGAAGGCTTAAAAAGTCAAGTATTAGAGATTTACAAGAGAATGAACAAAGAACGATCACTTCGTACTTTGAGCACTGGCACTTCCGGTATGAAAATGCAAATCTCCGCTTGAGGTAACTTGTGGCTGACCAAACACGGGGACGGTCAAAGGTGTTGAGAGCTTGTTGATGGAAGTATTTTCGCCATCTCCTGAAGCAAGTACTGATGCTTGCTGATTATGGCAGCAGAGCAATTCAAACAGACCTTGTGCGGATTTCACTTCAACTAGACTATTTGTTGGGTAATCATGCTCCATGGACCCAGATGCATCCTGGATGTCGTCTATCAAAAGACGACCCTCGTCGTCTGACATGCGCTCCCCAGTTTCCCGTGAACTTTACCTGCAAGAAAATAGTTGAAAATTATGGACTAGGAAGAAGCAACACCCATAACAAAAAGACTGGAACAATCTCGGAAAGACCACGAATTTCACTCGCAAACGTCCAAGTATAATGTTTGACCCATGATAAGTTTTTTCTTCCAAAAAGCAAAGCTTTGTTAGTGAGGCTTGAAGCCCAGAGAAAATCGGATTAATGCCAAATGATAGCGCCTTTTTGTGGGTTATTGTAGGTATATGGTATAGAGCAGAGAAAGATATCGCTATGAGTGGCGTAGGGGAATTTGGACGATCAAGTGGCATGTCCATTGCGTACGATGGCGACTGTGAAGGATTACGGTGAATATAAGATTTCACCACAATTTGAATGAAAGCTTTACTTCATTGCGTAGACAAGCGCAGTTTTTTCTTTTTTTTTCTAGAAACATGTAAAAACTAGCATTTTTGTTACATTAAGTGAACAAGCGCGTGGTAAATCCCACTGCTGTTATCTGTACATGATCGAACGAAAAAAATAGTATACTGAACGAAAGCTTACATAAGATGCTGTGAAATTAACCCAACAGATGTAGATACTTGGTCAACGAACATATCGAAGAGAGTTATTTGTGATTAGTCGTTATTTGTGTCAAAGAAAGCGTGAAAATATAATCGTAAGAAAAATCTGACAAGAAAGGTCCGATGAGTCAATGTGACTTTCCAAATAAGTCTTATACCACTTTGAAGAGCATCAAACGATGACTCCAAATCTGATTTCATTATCTGCCGAGCGCCTCTGCATGCCAAGTTAAGTATTTTCTTAGCGCAAAAATGATCGCATAATCCGAGTGAGATAAAATTCTACGGTCTTTCAGCAGTGTTAAGCATGAGTGCTTCGGACAGAGGTATTGTCCAAATGGGGTGCTCTGATAATCAACATTAGACCATTTGAGCAACTCTAACGAATTTTGTGCTAACTTCAAATCAAAAATGCTCATAACTCAGTGTTCAGAGGCGCTCGGCAGACGAAGACAAATTTGAAATCAGCGTTCGATGCTCTTTATAGTCGTATCATTTCATGTCAAAAGGCCACTTCGATTAAACGGACCTCGCTTGTGAGAAAAAAGTCACATAGGGTGATGTATTAAGGAGAGCTGGGGTGCCGAAAAATCCAGTGCAAAAACCAAAAAAAAGATAGCAAAGAGGTCTGGTTAGCAACTTCGCGGATTAGTGCGCATGACATATACCCAGAATACCAAGCGACATATGGAAAGGCGATGTTAGTCAATGTTTGTGGTTTCTTGGACCCTTATCAGCAGATCTGTCGGGAAATCGGCAGCATCTGCAAAGATAAAAACTTGGCTGTAGTATTTGTTTCCAGCAGTAGTGCTTATGAGACACACAAAACATCCAAGTTAAGAGCACGAAGTGAGCTACCAACGGAACCAGCTTTTAGTAAAGTGATGCAGCTTGCGCTCAGTCGTCTAATTGCGCGTACAGCTGCAAAGCAGACACTTCTGTACACATTTGCAAGAGGGTCCAGCTAGCAACAAAACTGAACCACCAAACAAAAGATGGCTAAAGAGATCCTGGCATAAGAGATCTGCAGAGATTTCCAAGCACAGACCATAGCAAAGAGGAGGTCACGACAAGGTCCAACACCGGACACGGAGCACTTTTTCAAGAAAAAAAGAACTCGATCAATAGCGAAGGACACGACGCGAGCCAAAAATTTAACGAGCGCGGCGGGACCAAGGCGCGGATTCGCGCGCTAAATCGCTGCGATTGGCGAGCATTCGAATACCTGGCGAATGTTCTACGATTTATAGATGGCTTTTCACTTAACTTTTACCTTGAATTGTAACAAAGTACAGGATTACTGCCTGCGGTGTTGTTTTGCAGATTCATCTCTTTGGATTGTCACATTGGTCCGCGTCAAGTTTATCTGGTCATTTGTCGAGTTCTTGTATTGTTGATCTGATTCACTCTTCTCTTTTCTCTATAATGCCAATAGCTCTTATTTTTCTATGGCGGCTTCACAGTCTCATTCCATTTGGCGATTTCTCGTCAAAATTGTAAACCTTTAAAAATGCCATAAGCTGCAACTTTGAGATATAGAATAATACTATTATCTGTTTTCTTTAGACTAGTGAAAGCAATCACCACTGAAGTAGTAGTCATGGTGTACTTGTTTGGGTCAAAAAGCAGAAGAATTGTAACGCGCTTGGTATGGGGTTTACCTCGCAAGAAGACTATGTTTTGCCTAGTATATGTTGTTGTAGTCGATATTCCTGCCAAGAGTCGTGCACTGGTGGAGTTTGGTTGACTTAAGATTTGTTAAATCTCCAACTCCTCAAACATGATCATATATTGATAATTCTTCGCATTTGCATCAGAAGGCAATAAATTTTTTGGTGAAGAGTAGCTCGCTTAAAATGTCGAGATCAACCTAGTGGAGAGCTCTAACCGGAAAATTAGGAGAATGTCTTGCGGTTGGCATGCTCTAAACCTGAAGTCTTATGTTTTTTATTTCAATAACTGACGGAAAATCCCCGAAATTTTTGTAGATAAAACCAGGAGTCTTTTCACCTCCAAGTTTATGCAGTTTCACAACTACAAGAACATGAACTATCGGTACATAATTTTTGGAACGAAGAGCTCTGTCGAAGTATGTACGGGAAGTAGACGACGCACGAACCTTAGTCTACCGTAGAGAATGGGTGAAAAAGCAGCTCCTATAAAGTACTGAGACGAAGATCGAAACGAAAAAATTGTGCCAAGCGATTTAGCTGATATTTCTTACATCATTATGAAGAGCTTTCCAGGAGCTTTTGGAGAAAGTCCTATCTTCTTGCAGTTGTGTTGAGTCACATTCTGAATTAAAAAAGCTAGCTATAAAAAAGCGATCTACAAAGTTTAGAATATCTGAAAGTCAGTCTTGATTTGTTACGGTTGCGTAAATTCAGTGTTTTTGAGTCCCCAAAAATCTGTAGATTCATATCACACACATCTGTGCCACATAGTCTGCATCATTTTGGCGCATTGTACTGTATTGTCTGTTACAGTAGATTGACGTGTTTGAAATCGCAAAAAAGAGCGAACAGATCTGCGATGCATTGTCGGATATATTCATAGTTGCACTTTTAGCTTGATGAGTGTGATATTCGTGTCGGTTACTGTATATCCATATTGTGTCGGAGCAGGTTCTATTTTGAAAGAGCATTCTCTGTAACAACCTAGGTTTCATCTGTTTCACTTTCTCTGTTTCTTCAGATCTCTTGCTCGTTGTTGGGAAATGTTGCCATTTGTGAACATCTGGAGAACCGATCTGCTTTTGATAATCAGCAAAAAATTCATGTTGTGTTCGAGTTTTGGAGAAAGCTGATTTATCAGTATCACTTTCCCCACTAATGAATCTCTCAAGGTTTTCCTAAATATTCGCTAACATCTGTGAATGGTATTGAAAAAAATTTACTCTCTGCTGATTAGTCTCACAGATTACATATTATTAACTTGGCAGTCGTTCCAGTTAATGAATGAAAGGTAGAAGACGCGCAAACACTCAAAAGAGTAAGCCGAAACGTGGCGGAGCTGGAGGCCTGCCTGTTGTCCAAGAAAAGTCACAGAGGTTTTTTTCTAATTTTCTATGTAAGTGTGAACGACTTGTAATGCTATTTCCAGGCTTCCTGCAATTAACCCAAATCAAACAATCACCCAGCATTTCACGTGCACTACAAAAGTCTCCCGCAAGCGGAAATCTGAGTGTATCGAGGTAATATGCATGGACTCTGTGTATGGAAATTTGTTGAAACTTATGACTTACCTTCACCATATAATTTGAATTATAAAAATTGGTCTTTTCTTTTTGGTTTGGCAGCGTGTCCCATTTTGTATTCTGCGTCCTCTGAGCGTGGGAAATTATTCGCCTTTGTCGTCTTTCGAGCCGCTGCAGAATGTCTGCGCATCTTCTTTTCCTCTGTTTTGGAGATTTCAAATCGCTGCTCTGCCCAATATGCAATTCATCTGATTGCGGTCCCTTCTCTAGCTCAACACCTCAGTGCAGAGTGCAAAGCGACATCACACAGACGTTGCACTCCGACAGATGGCTCCTGAATATCTACCGTCAACATCTGATGATGGTTCTCATCCCACTGCAGAGGATGATCAGCTTTCCGTATTCACTGCGGAGGAGGAGTCTGATGGGCATATGACTTCATATTCGGGAAGCGAACGGGAGGGTATGCATTTCGCGAGTTTCCCCTAGTATTTGCGAACTTTCTGTTCATTGTTATTTATTCAGAGCACATGTACAATGAATACAATGAAGAACTGGAGAACGATGCTTTCCGAGAACTTGAAGCAGGTCTGAATGATCAATCATACCAAACCAAGGAGGTGCCACCGCAACTTACCGCGCTTCGGTGTACGGGAATTGGTTCACCGAAAAAGGTACCTTTTATCAAAATTATATGAGATTTACTCACTCAGCACCTCTGACTTACGTAGGTTTGGGGTTTACTTTGCCGCAAAGATGAACTGATACGTGCAAGTCATCACGTACTGGATAACCATCCAGACCTAGCACCTCGAACCCGTGCAGTTCTTGTGGACTGGATGATGGAGGTCAGTTTCAGCTTTCGAATTGAGTTAGAGGTCCTTAACAGCAGTTAGTCTTAGTGTAGCTATCTCACGTTCGCGTTAAGTCTATTAGAGCTCTTTACTGCGCCAAAATGAAGCATTCTATGTATGTCCGTCACGTGTTCATCAAATCATTCCACTGCTCTATCGTGCAAGAGATGTTTTTGTTAAGGCTTTGTTTAATCTCTTAAATACGATGTACAATAGATTAGGCGGGAAATCACGCTACGGTAGCTGTGTTGCCACATTTATCTGTCATATACGAAGATGGTTTAATCTTTACTGTATTTTTTTCTTTGAGGTGTGCGGAAGTGAAAAACAGCACCGTGAGACATTCCATTTGGCAGTTGATTATGTTGACAGATTTCTTGCGACTTTTCATGGCATCAGATCACAAACTTTCCAAATGGTTGGCACATCAGCATTATTCCTTGCAAGCAAATATGAGGTATGCTTTCACAAAATTTTTATGGTGAAACATCGTGAGCAAAAATTTATTTTGAGTTCAGCTCAAGAAAGTTCATACATGAAACTACGTGTAAATCTGGGCGTTTCGAAATCAGCCAATCTTATGCTTCAGACAACTTTATAATTCCCGTCAAATCAAGACTTCGTAGGACCTTTTGTCGTAAGAAAAGAATTACTTTATGAACATGTATATCATAGGTTAATAATGCTTATGCTTACACAGTAGTTCCGCTTAAGGAGCAGGGTAGTGGAATTTTGTTGCGCTTCTCCAGGCTTTCTTCGCGATAGCATTGTCTTCTGTGTTACTGCAAATGAGAAAGCTTAACTTAGCACTGTTCATTCTAGCAAGACAAACCTCAGGTGCATCATAGTCTTGCTGTCTCTCTTTCAACGGTCAATCCTGCAGAGCTTTGTGCAAACAGTACTTTATCCACTCATTAGAGTTATCAACACCATGAAGTTGAAAATCAAATTTCACATATATAGGTGGATCATACGGGATATTTGTGTGGGAATCATACAATATGGAAAGAAAGCAAGAAGCTTAGCTCGCTTTCTAGAAATTCAAGTTGTGTAGTAGTGAATGCTGTCTTCACGTGACTTGAATTTGTGGAACGACGGAAATGTTGACGGTAGTAGAGAGAATTCATAGCTAGTCAGTTTTTTTCTCAGCCAACTATTTGCACCATTGGAATCACTAGAGTTTGCGCAGTTAATCATGAAAAATGATACCAGCGATGAATGATGAAAGATGGAGAATAATGTGCGTCTAGAGCTCAATCACCGGTCATGCTTTATCGGAAAACGACAAATTACACTAGAACAGGTACAACTTGGCAAGAGGTGGTACAATCGCAGATATGCAGACACGAATTTTCACTCTGAATCATTCGGCTACTAGCACCATTTCGTGCCATTCCCAGCTGCTCCTCTGTGAATGCACTTCGTTTCGTACTTAGTACGAACAAAAAAGAATGTTTTCCAGTTTCACAATTAATACAGCCTTGACACATCTGACTTTGATTTTCAATCGTTTGATAGTCGCGGCGGTTTGCAATACGAGCTCGTAATCGATGACTTTTTGAGAAACTATATGTTTTTTACGTTGTCTGTATGTCCTACACTACTGTTTCACCTCTATTTTTCAAGGAGATCTATCCGCCTAAACTCGAAGAGTTTGTAGCTTACACCGATGGCGCGTGTACTGAAAGTGACGTGAGCAACTTTTATTCAATTTCCAAAAAGTTGTTGCCGTACGAGCATTACGTCACGATGTTCAGGTGCGAACTTTTGAAATAATAATGCTCAAAGAGCTACACTGGTCACTGTCACCGTTGACGTCCATACACTGGCTCAGCATGTATATGCAGTTTTTGGGGAATAAAGAGGTGAGACAAAGCTTTTCTCTCCAAGTAATGCCCTTGCTCATATCTTATATCTTTAGGCGGTGAAAAATGATGGAGATAAGCACGTAGTTGATCAGCCATTCATAGTCCCAGACACACTTAGAGAGGACTTCATGAACATGGCTAGGGTAAGATTAATCGTATGTAGGTATCTTTCATTTCACTTCATAATCATTTTAGGTACTCGACTTGATTCTCTTAGATGTCGAGTCACTAAAGTATTCTTATCGTCAGCTTGCCGCTGCAGTTCTTTTCGCTTGCTATGAACCTCACTCGCTTGTGCAAGAGGTGACAGGTTTGTAGCATCAGTTATTCAAGTACTTCCTCGCTTTTAACGCCCTCACGTCATTTTGCGGTAGTTGGGATAATACCTCGTTAGTGCAAGCGAACTCGCTTTTGTATGGCGAACAATGGCATCATCTGTATGGCTTTGCGGGAAAACGAAGCGATTTCCATTTCCAATACCGTTTCCCATATGATTGGGATGATGATATGATTGTTTCCCATATGTTGGGATTGTATTACTGGTTGGGAGTGGCGATTACTTGATGCACCTTGATTTCTACGTATTCCTATCTTTCTTTATCTAAGAATATAAGTTCATGTAGTTCTGAGAAATCAGCGTTTTTCTGACACAGAATTTTGAATCACATGTTGGGCATTTGTATGGAACAAACAAGAAAGAATTGAGGGTTGTGACGCGCGAGTTGTGCTCTCTCGGCGTTTGAAGGGTATATAATCAATCTCTTTGGAGCAAATTAATGTAGTTTATAAATTTACCTTACTTGAAAATTCCCGCTCTACTGCTGGGTATCCTTAGAAGTTGGGGAAGGGAAGCCAAAAAAAGCGAAAAAAAAACATTCTTTCAACGGCATAGAGAGGGCAAGTTCCAGAAGAAGCAAATCATATGAAAATATGTTCAGCCTTTGTTTTGATTGTGATTTTCATACCTTACGTGGGACGTAAAAACATCCCTTTTTTACTGGACGATTTACTTCGTAACAGCTGGACGCAGAAGCTTCATTCTTTGACACTGGCTTTGGGTCAATGAGCAGCCTAGTTTATCTTATAATTTAATTCTTGCGCATCCCTTCTTTTGAATTTGTCAGATGTGTTGTCTTCATGATCAGTGGTCTACAGCGTTGTACTTGAGTTTTTGCATTCAATGCCTTGAGCTTATCCATCACACATTTGCACTTTTATAAACATTTTCAGGCTACGCCTACGCAGATCTTCTGAAGGTTGTCGAGTGGGTGGAGCCGGTAGTAAAGGTGTGCGATCGATTGCGATCACTTGGAGATCCCATTGCAATCGTAGAAGGTGTTCGGGCCGACGACTTGCATAACATACAAACTCATCCAGAGCAGGATTTTGATGAGATCATGGTACTTGCATTGACTGAGATTCGAGTGCACTTATTGCTTAGTGTAACCTCAAATTTCTAGGCTGATATTGAAAAGGAACGGGAAATTGCAGAACGTTCTCGTCAGAAACTTCCGATCACCAGACGAAGGGGTCCCTTGAGAACACGGTGTACTAATCCGGATCAAATAACAATTTTTACATAGCCATGAACAGACGTCACATTTTTACACCATCACCAATTTTAGGTAGAACGCATGTCGCACTCTAAATACGAAATCTTGTGTACCTTTCCGAATGGGCTTTCTGTAACTACTTTTTACATATCCTTTTATGTCTGCCTGTCAAGCTTTCGATTAAGTCTTCTTCGTAAAATCGGGTTCACTAGTTAACTTTTTTGTCTGGGTTCATATTTATTGGATTTAGATCATTTACATACTTCTTGTATCATTCGATTGGGTATGCGTGCTCTGTACTATTCACAGTTTTCTTTCATTGGGGTGCGTGCTCTGTACAATTTGTAATTTTCATCTATCAGAAGGTTGTGCTCTAATGAATTGTAGTTCAATTACGTTTACACCGCTGAAGCCATAGTGTTCTCGCATCACGACCTCGGGTAGGGAGTAAGATTTCAACTGCTTCTTAATCACGCTCGTTTCATAGCTGAACATGAGTAAAGTGTAGTTAAAAAAACATTCGACACTATTACCTTTTCAATTGCTCGTCATTAAGCGGGTGGCGGTTTGGATCCCCGATTAGTATGCGGGTGGCAGTGCGTTGTTTCAATCTAAAGGGAACAACTTGAGTCAAATTTTTTTTCTATACTGAACTTTACCGGTGTGGGATTTCGTAACCTAGTCAAAAAAATTTTCCGAAGGTTTGGCTAACACTACGCCTTTTGTTTAGAAAAAATTCTCTGTTGCGTCCTTTCTCTTGGATGTCAGAGAAAGACCTCGGCCCAGCGGCTAAGCCAAAATTTTCATTTTTTGGGCCTGTTAAAATTATCAAATAACTCACCTATACAGCCAAGCTAGAACTTTCTCTGCAAAATCTGTGTCGTAGAACATGTCTCCTAACACGATAAAGGACTTTCTCACCTGCAATGCAAGGCTATTGTAGAGTGGAACTGTTATGCGAGATCTCTGACCGCTAGGAACTCTTCTACACGGCTATTGTCCTTGGTCGTCAGCAGGTCGTCACTGATAAACTGCGTTTCTTTTGCGGAAATTCCGTTCAGTCTGTAGTTGAGTGTTGTGGCAATCAAAGCATCTGTAGATAACGATAAAGCTCCAAAAGAATGCAAGCATAGAGCACCATTGTTGAAGGCAGTGTCCAGCAGGGGCGGAACGAAGGGGAGAGGAAGCGGCGCGCCTCCTTCGAGAAGGAGTCATAAAAATGTGCAAATGGCGTACTTATTTTTTTAGCAGTTGAAATAATTTTCAAAATAAAAAAAACTAGACAAAATTTAGGGGACTGGCTCCGCCTATGCTCCTTTGTTCAAAATTTCGGGGTTGAAATCTCGCGAAAGTTTCAGAATGTATCTATCAAAGTCGTAGGTAAGGCCACGCCCATGAAAGAAAATTTTCCCCTCCCTCGCAAGCGAATGGAAATTCACGAATTGTCACTGGCGTCCGGTAGATTTGAGTACAATTTCCAGTGTGACCTGTTTAAAGCTTCAAGGCGGCATCCGGGCGAAGTATGGTGTCATAGCGATGCATAGCAAGCTCCAAATTATACCTTTATTCACCTGGCTTGGTCGCTGGAATGCGGTCTTTGTGACCTAATCAAGGTTAGTTAATGACCAGAGAGCACGCGCGCGGGAGAGGCGCAGATTGCGTCACAGGCGCGGGCGGTTCTAACTAGGTCACAAAGCTCCGCCTTCCAGCCGTCGAGCCAGTTGAAACAAAGGCTACTTAGCGAAGTTTGCATTTCTTTTAATATTCGAATATCGATTGATATCCAAAAAATCGTGCGATTATCGAATATCAGTCGAAGATAGAAAATTTCAGATAATCGACTTTTGAGTAATATTCGAACATCATTCGACTTTTCAATGTTATTCGGCTTTCAAATAATATCCAACTTTATCATAGATTGATATCCGAATATCATTTGATTATCCAATGTCAACTGGATGACAGCCTATGAAAGACCAAAACATCTAACAATAGTCATATGTATTTAGAGTAGACACTTTTGTTACAATTTATGATGAAAAAACAAGAGGTGACATCAAGGAGTTGAAAACCTTCCATTGAGTGGGCGTTATTGGTGGAAGTTTGAAGCGCTTTTTTCAGGACTTAGCGCATGAATTGGAAGTCGAGGTTGGGGCTACGGTGTACTTGGAGGGTCCACTACCCGAAACTACCAAAATCTGACAGGGGTCCATTTTGCCTGTCCACTGCCTTTAAGTGCACCTAGCCTAGTGCTTTTTTTCATAAGCTATGCCAGATATGATCTCCCAGATGCGTATAGGGGCGAATTGCGGACTTTCCTGTTGGAGATAAACTTGTTCCTCCACGTAATACCACTGTAATTTATACTCTCCGCTACCAAAACCGCAACGCTTTGAGTCGGCAAGACTCCGCCTCTGTACGAATCATGGAGCCGATGATGCATGTACATGTCTTTTCCAATATTTCTTGAAAGCGTGATTTTACATTAAAAATCTTAAAAAGCTCGTAAAAGTTGTGTAGTGAAAACAACCTATACAGAAACTCTACTACACAAATTTTTGGATTTTTTTGATGAAATTCTTCAAACATATTTGGCAGTGCTCTGAATGCTGGGAGTTCCTACCACAACGAGGTATACGACAAATTTCGTTGATAGTATTTATTATACTTATCGAAATTCGAAATTTTTTTTCGAATGTTTGACTATCGAGTATCATAACTTATAATAACGGGCTAAGGGTGTTTACGTGTGTGTGTGTGTGTGTGTGTGTGTGTGTGTGTGTGTGTGTGTGTGTGTGTGTGTGTGTGTGTGTGTGTGTGTGTGTGTGTGTGTGTGTGTGTGTGTGTGTGTGTGTGTGTGTGTGTGTGTGTGTGTGTGTGTGTGTGTGTGTGTGTGTGTGTGTGTGTGTGTGTGTGTGTGTGTGTGTGTGTGTGTGTGTGTGTGTGTGTGTGTGTGTGTGTGTGTGTGTGTGTGTGTGTGTGTGTGTGTGTGTGTGTGTGTGTGTGTGTGTGTGTGTGTGTGTGTGTGTGTGTGTGTGTGTGTGTGTGTGTGTGTGTGTGTGTGTGTGTGTGTGTGTGTGTGTGTGTGTGTGTGTGTGTGTGTGTGTGTGTGTGTGTGTGTGTGTGTGTGTGTGTGTGTGTGTGTGTGTGTGTGTGTGTGTGTGTGTGTGTGTGTGTGTGTGTGTGTGTGTGTGTGTGTGTGTGTGTGTGTGTGTGTGTGTGTGTGTGTGTGTGTGTGTGTGTGTGTGTGTGTGTGTGTGTGTGTGTGTGTGTGTGTGTGTGTGTGTGTGTGTGTGTGTGTGTGTGTGTGTGTGTGTGTGTGTGTGTGTGTGTGTGTGTGTGTGTGTGTGTGTGTGTGTGTGTGTGTGTGTGTGTGTGTGTGTGTGTGTGTGTGTGTGTGTGTGTGTGTGTGTGTGTGTGTGTGTGTGTGTGTGTGTGTGTGTGTGTGTGTGTGTGTGTGTGTGTGTGTGTGTGTGTGTGTGTGTGTGTGTGTGTGTGTGTGTGTGTGTGTGTGTGTGTGTGTGTGTGTGTGTGTGTGTGTGTGTGTGTGTGTGTGTGTGTGTGTGTGTGTGTGTGTGTGTGTGTGTGTGTGTGTGTGTGTGTGTGTGTGTGTGTGTGTGTGTGTGTGTGTGTGTGTGTGTGTGTGTGTGTGTGTGTGTGTGTGTGTGTGTGTGTGTGTGTGTGTGTGTGTGTGTGTGTGTGTGTGTGTGTGTAAGTTTGTCTGTCTGTCACGAAATTCGTAGAACGTGTTTCAGCCAATCTCCTGAGCCCAAATTTTGCATAGCGCATGCTACCAACATGAGATTCCACTCAGGGCCCGGCGGGGGTGGCGCTTTCACAAGCTGGATATCGTTTTTGGCCCAAAAAAGCAAAGGGGAAGTCGTACTTTGGGGTCCGGCGACTTCCCCATTGTTTACCGATAAACAATGCACATATCATTCTTTATTCATCATTCTTTGTTGATGCTACTGTCCTATGAACTTAGATTCCAGCAATGTGAAGATTCTGTGCTGCGATCGCTAGCCTGCCCGCAGGCGGGAATTCAATTCGCAATTCTTGTAAGAAAATAACAAAATAGGCTCGTTTTTAATGCGCAAGTAGCGATATGGCACCAAATTTGCTGTATAGTTGGAGGAACATGAGCACAAAAAAAGTATGAAGAATTATGAGATACTTATGTGAACTTAAAAAATGGCAAGTGTTTTTCGAAATTGGGTGGCTCCCGCGCCACTTGGGAGCCACCTGGGGTGGCTCCCTGCTTCCCTTCACATAATTTCCCGGATTTCTTTACTTAAATGTGGACTAGGTCGAGAGTATTACTATATGTTCAAATCCGCTTCCAAAACCACCAAGGCACCGCTTCGATACAGCCCCAAATAGGGTTCACAGCGTTATGATCGGCCTCGGAAAGCGCGCTCCATTCGCAATCGGTTATTGTAAATTGTAAAGTTTCGCAGCTGACTAATAAATGAGTAGTATCTTAGATATATAAACGTCAAAGTTTGTACAAATCTTGACCCTATGTTTTTTTATAGATTCCTTTGCGGATGAACCCATTGAGGTTAAACCTTGATGACCCGGGTTGGTCCAGGAAAGCCAGGTAGTACTACTATAATAAGCGCTGAGGCCGCCCATCTTATTATTTGTGTATATCTGTTTGTCAGGGACTTACGGGGGTCAAAAATAGGGTCAAAGGGGAAGTCGTAAGAAATTTTGGCTTCAAAGGGGATATCGTTTTCAGAATTCTGAAATGCCACCTCCTGCCGGGCCCTGATTCCACTGTACAAAAGCATGAGCGGATCCGTTTTGTGGATCCCTAAAAAAATGCGCGTAAATCGGATCCACTTGGCTTTTGGCCAATAAAATTGAGCGTGTACCACCAATTTTGCGATGCCATGGATATGTTTGACAAGCTAATGTGGAAGCCATGGACTTCAGCCCAAAAAACTTAACTAAAGTTGGCTACTTTACGAAAATCGCGCCAAAACGAGTTAGTTGCGTAAATGTTCTTTTTGCCAAGATTTCACCTAATCACTTGAGAAGATTTTTACACAGAGATGTAGCCCATGATGTTTATTGTCCTTATGGCAACTACCAAGCCATAAAAATTCCAAAAACCTACTCAAATTTGCATCTGTTCTTCCGGAAAAAATTTCATCCAGGCGAAAGTACCGATCTCACAGGAAAAACCTCTAGGGATGAGTAGTTGTTTACGAATCATTCGTAATAGCTTATATAGCGCGGTGAGTTTCAATGCCATTATTATGCGGAATGAGCAAGGCATACAGAAATAGCAAGGCATACAGAAATAGGGCCAGTGCGAGCCTCTGCGAAGCAGAGGTGACGCACTGGTTATTCGATAATTGAAATCTTCGAATATTCGACTATCGAATATTATTCGAAAATGGAAATTTTCCAATTAAAAGACATTCGAATATCGAATATTTTTTGTTGCTCGAATTTCGAATAACTATTCGGTTCTCTAATATCAATCGATTTTCAAATATCATTCGATTTTTGAATACTATTCGAATAATCTATGTCAGTGAGACTGCCGTCGAGAGACCAAAACATCTAAAAATAAATTGTTTCATGTAAGTATCAAGAAAGACCCTTTTTCGTATTACAATTTAAGATGAAAAACGGTTTAGTGGTGACGTGAACTTGAGGACCTAAAAGCGTATCTTGTGACGGTTATGAAAAAATCCGAATTTCAAAGAAGATCATATATATCCTCATTGGGAGTTGTGGATCGAGATACAGGGGTCCCAACAGTATGTAGATCTGTGGGCTGACATAAACTCAAACTTATAATGTGGAGCGATTTATCGACCGCTTTACGCTGCTGTAAAATTACCGCAGGAAAACTGAAGAGGGTTCTGAGACATCAAGAGCTGCTTGCCTAGGAAAGGGAATACAAAAGCCAAAAGTCTTAAATTAGTCTTCTAAAGACACTTATTATACGTAAAATTCGTACAGTAAGTGTAGTATAATTTGCATTCAACCGTAATGCTTTTTTCAACTTATGCCAGGTAAACAAATGTTTTTAACACCTTTCATGAACGGGATTGCACATTTGAAAAGCCTGAAGAC